GGTTTCTCAGCTGGATGGAAGCTCACTCCATGTGCAGTATCCACATGGACCTCTCTGCATCATCACTGTGGGATTCGGGGGGCAAGGGGATTTGATGGAACTAGGCTGATGTCCATCCTGCTTGCTATGTGCTGAGTTATGAGGTCCTTTGTTTCTGACTCAGGAGTGTCATGTCTTTTGCCCTCATCCTTGAAACTATGGCAGGCTAACATGTTACTTTGTAAGCAGAGGAAAATCTCAAACCCTGGGCTCTCGATGCCCACTGCCTTCATTGTATATCAACCCGTTAAGTCTTGTTCCTCTCCTCAGAAGCCCCCTCTTTGCCCAAGCGTGGCTTCACTTGGTCCCCCCACACACCTTATTCCCCATCCACATGCATTATTACTCCATTGAATGCTAACTTCCGGAACCAGCCTACAAATGTACACATTAGGCCTGGTCATGAGGGGAGAGAGAAGGGAAGAGAGTTATTCTCAGTATCAAATGGATCCTGCAGGCTCTTTTGGAAATGGTGGTAATAGGAATAATGTTTTCATTCCCCCTGACAAATCTCATTCTCTGGCCATTTTCTACCTCCAAGAATGCACCATGAAACATGTTATCCCAAGGAAATTTATTTATTTATTTATTTTAAAGATTTTTATTTATTTATTTTGAGGGAGAGAGAGAGAGCATGCAAGAGTGTGTGAGAGTAGGAGGAGGGGTAGAGGGAGAGGATCTCAAGCAGACTCCCCGCTGAACATGGAGCCCGATGTGGGGCTGGATCTCATGACCCTGAGATCACGACCTGAGCCGAAATCAAGTCAGATGCTCAACTGACTGAGCCATCCAAGCGCCCCTCCCAGGGAAATTTAGAATTGATATTTCTAGGACACATTGGTCATTGATCAATGTTGAGTCTCAAAGATGACTTTGTCAAGTCTTTAGGGACTAATAGCCTTGACACCCAGGTGCAGGCTAGAGGATTGCTAATTGAGGGGTATGAGGAAGGGGTGAAAATGCAGCCTGGGCTTGGCTCAGCAAGCTGCATCTCGTGGTGCCTGGCTGTGTCCTCTGAGAGCTGGCCACATTTTCTGATTCTCACACAGGCACCCTGGGGACCAGCAGAGACAAAGCCAGGCTTTTTGGAAAAAGAAAGTAGGGATTTCGAAAGTCCCAAGCTTCCCATTTTAGACATAAAGAGCGAGACTTCCCATGACTCTGATCATGGAGTTTTATTGTAAGTCATCATAAAAAGGGAGAATTCAGGATATACAAGGAGGGAGTTCTCCAACGTGACTGAAAGAGACCCACCTCTCCTGGGCCAGAAGTTGTTGGTAGGGAGGAACAAGATAGAGGAAGAACCAAGAAACCAGACCTGAGACTCCACAGCCCACCATCTGCAAGCCTGGCTCTTGATTCAGAGAATAGTCAGGACAGAGAGACCAGTTAGGAGCGTATTGCAATGGGGAGCTAGCTGTTTGATGTTGTGAGGCACTCCTGTATCTACCTGGGTGTTTCTAAAGCCTTCTCTAACTGGCCATCCCAGACTCTGTGTTGTTTTGCAAACCCACCAAGCATGCTCTTGCCTCAGGACCTTTGCACTTGCTGTTCTATTTGCCTGAAAGTTTCTTTCAGCAGATAGTCTCATGACTCACCCCTCACGGATTCTAGATCTCTGTTCAAATCTTTTCAAATACCACCTTATCAGAGAGGGCTTCCCTGATCACTGCATTTAAGATAGCTCCCTCTTCCCCCAGTGGTCCTGGTCAACCCTCCCGGATATATATCTCTCAACAGGATGTATCACCCTCTGACACACTGTGTATTTCATTTGATTGCTCACTGCTTTTTTCTTCCTTCTGGACTGGGGACTTTGTTTTGTTTGCTGCTCCATCGCCAGCACCCACAGCAGTGTGTGGCATAGAAGTGATCCCTGGATAGATGTTTGTTAAATGAATAAATGAATGAACGAGGTTGGAGGCTCTTGAGAGAAGCCCCACCTTGGCTTGATAGCAGATACAATTCAGGCTGGGGATGAGTGGCAGCTATTTAGAAGGTCAGGCCCCAGCTGTCTTCCTGACTCCCTGCAATCTAGGCCAGGCACGCATGGGGTCCAGGCGCTCCTGCTTGCCACATAAGAGCATGTGAAATTCATGGGGACTAGCAGCAGCCTAGTATTGGGAGGAGAGAGGTACTGAGGATGACAAAGGCCAGAGGCCCAGGCTGTAGCAGCAGATGGTGCCCTCCCTGCTGTGAGAGCAGCCAGGGTCCTCAGCCTACTCACTGCAGACCCCACACCGGAATCCTGGGGTGGCCACCAGCAGAGCAGGCAGCTCGCTGACCCTCCCTCCATGGGCTGCGGATTCCTTAGTCCCAGGTCTCTCACTCACACCCGGATCACCATTTGGAGAAAGAGGGAGGGAGTGACTACCGGAGTGGATAGCTGCACTTGGAACTGACTATTAAAAGCGACCATTTAAACCCCCAAAGCACTGAGATGCTGTGTACTGGAAAGCGCAGTCATCTTTGCTTCCTTCCTATCTCCACTTACTGTGAGCAGGGATTCAGGTTGAAGATGAAAACAGCTATAGGATAATTTAAACAAAAAAGCAACATTTTTCTTTGCACATTGGAGTGCATCATGTTAAATTTGGGATGGTTGCTACCCTTTAGAAGAACAGCCTCCCCATAAAGGCCCCCCCAAAGCCAGGCCTCCCAAAGGGGCCACTTGGATTTCATTAAATACATTCCAGCAGCCCCTAGCCTGTTTGTTAGTGCATCCCCCACCCACCTGGAGCTTTTCCCAGAGGGCATGGTTATGGTGGCTGGTAAAGAAGGGAAGTGTTTCCCCGCCCAACGACTTACTACCAGATCCTTCTTCGGAGCTTTGCACAGACTCCCCAGTACGTTGGGGATCTCATTCGAGGCTCTGAATTGAGATGTAAACTCTGAAAACATTTTACTGCCCTCCAGCTGGAGGAAAGGACATCTCCCATGACAAGCAGGGCAGGAGCAGTCAGAGGGCTGTCTGGGGCAGGGCAAGATTCTAGTTCATTCTCACAAGAACAAAATTTAATCTACCAAGGCAAAGCAAGTTTTTGATTTTGGTGGAAAAGCACACCAGTTAAAGAATTTAAGCCATGAATATTATTGTTTTTATAACTAATAGATCCTTACAGAGCAGTGGTCCTTGGTGGGGTAATTTTGCCTATGCCCCAGGGACACTGGGCAGTGTTTGCAGGACTTCTGTCACTGTTCTCTCACTGATATCTTACAAACATCCTGTGAGTTAAGATAGGCAGGTGTAATTGTGCCCCTTTTACAGAGGTGACCAAGGCTCAGAGATGACAAGGGACCTGCCGAGGTCCCCACACAGCACAGAGCAGGTGAGCAGAGCTTTCTCCGTGGCTCAGTTCCATTAGTGTCCTCGTGCCAGGGACTAGATACTATTTTTACTCTGTGTTTTTTTTTGAAAAAAGGAATAAGATTTTCAACATTTCTTGGGAGTCAACCATGCCTCAAGTAAAGAGAACAAAATCCTTGCTGTTAGGGGAGGTGACAATCTGGGAGGGAAGCAGTTAACAGACAAGGTCATATGTAGAGCAGGCCACACCTCAGATAGTGAGTGTTGGGTGATATGGGTGAACAAAGCAAGAGGGGAGAGCAGGGAGGGGTGCTAGAGAGGGGGACGCTGAATCCAAGTGTTAGATATCATGGCCAGGACAGCCTCCAGGAGGTGACATTTGTTTCTCCAACTTTTGAGGAATAATTGACAGATATACTTGTATATATTGAAAGTGTACACTGTGATGATATAATATACATATACATTGTGGAATGATTGCTGAGATCCAGATAATTAGCACAGCCAATGTCTTACATAGTCAACTCCTTCTTCTTCTTCTTCTTTTTTTTGGTGAGAACTCTTAAGATCTACTTTCAGCAGCTTTCAAGTTTACAAACCATATTAGAAACTAAGAAGAAGGTAGTAGGAAGGGTAAAATGAAGGGGGAGAAATCAGAGGGGGAGACGAACCATGAGAGACTAAGGACTATGAGAAACAAACTGAGGGTTCTAGAGGGGAGGGGGTGGGGGGGATGGGTTAGCCCGGTGATGGATATTAAGGAGGGCACATATACGCAAACAAGGAATCATGGAACACTGCATCAGAAACTAATGATGTAATGTATGGTGACTAACATAACATAATAAAATTAAAAAAAAAAAAGAAACTATAGTCACCATGTTGTACATTAGATCTTTAGAATTTATTCATTTTATAACTAAAAGTTTGTATTCTTTGATCTGCATCTCTCTATTCCCCCCCTGCCTTCAGACCCTGGCAACTGCCATTTTCTTCTCTGTTTCTATGAAAACTCAACAGCAAAAAAACCAAATAATCCTATGAAAAATGGGCAAAGGACCTGAACGGACGTTTTTCTGAAGTATACACACAAATGGCCTAGAAGTACCTGAAAAGGGGCTCAACATTACTAATCATCAGGGAAATGCAAATCAAAACCACAATGAGGTGGCCCTTGAATAAAGATCTGAAGGAAGTGAGGGAGCGAGGGATGTAGCTGAAGCATGTGGCTATCTGAGGAAGAGATTCCAGGCAGAAGGAGCAGCAAGTGCAAAGGCCCTGTGGTGGGGTGGGCCCGGTGTGCTTGAGGAGTCAGTGTAGCTGACTGAACGCATGGGGGAGGGAGAGAGCAGAAGGAGGTGAGACCACAGATGTGAGTCGTGTGAAGGTAGGGAACAAATCATAGAGACACTTGGAAGTCATTTGAAGGACCATAGCTTTCATCAGAGAATTAGGGAGCTGCTGCAGGCCCTGAGCAGAGGTATGGTAGAATCTTTGAATTTTAACTGGATCACTGGCTGCTGTGTGGGGAACATACAGAAGGAAGGAGGCAGTGAATTTGTTCAACTTCATTTTTGTCAGTTGTTCTAATTTCTTCAAATGTTTTTGTTTTCTTTTTTTTTTTTTTTTTAATTCTGTGATGACTTTGAACAAGGAGGAAAAGTCCAGGCGTGCACGAGCATACCAAGGAGAGCTTGAAGCATGGGGCTTGTTGGTCAGGAGAGAAAAGGAGAAGGTGGCTGTGAGGGAAGAAGATGCTGGCCAAGCGCTCCCACCACGCTCCTGAGGCTGGGAGCAAAGGCACACACGCAACCCAGGATGTCAGTGCATCCACAGCTGCCCTGCGAGGACAGCAGCTGCATGGCCGGAAGGTGAGATCATATCCTCCAGGATTAGCGGGGCTTCTCGAAAAAATTCAGCCAATTATTCTCCTCTGATTAGTTTTCATTTCATCATGGTTTGTTTGTCATTACTCTACCTGTTTTAGTCAAAAGTTCACAGCCTGTTTATATTAAGATATAAGCCCTTGAACTTGGGATTCTCAGGGGTCATGTCTACAGTTTTTGCTAACTAGTATTGATGTGTGTCAAGAAAGCCACATCCTCAACTCAACAGGGCAAGGCTTTTGAACAAAATCTACTAAATCATTCTTTAGTCTTTTGGAATGAGGAATTGATTTTCCTTCTTATCATGAAACCAAAAATAGAGAAGAGTGCGGTCAATTCATCCATTTTTATTTCCTAAGAATAAAACCAATCAGGCTCAGTATATGCTTGTGTGGCTGATCCTCAGAGTAGGAGAGAGTGGGGTGTCCCCTGAGTGCTCTCGGGGAAGACGACACTTGGGAACCTCTCCGTGGCTCCCTTTCAGGTCTTTGGGACTTGCTTGCAGAAGGCAAATCAACTTCTCGTCTGAGAACCAGGTGTGATCTTCTGAGGCAGAGACATTGACAGTCAGGGTAAAATATAAAACCTGAGCAAGACATCCAAACTTGCAAGTCAGATTTGGATACCAAGGTGCTTGTTTCGGCAGCACATATGCTAAAATTGAAACAATACAGAGAAGATTAGTATGGTTCCTGCATAAGGATGACATGCAAATACATAAAGTGTTTCATATTTTTTAAAAAATTGGCCCCCAATGCATTTTGCATAGCTGGTCTTCATGGACTGTTAGAGGACAACGAGATTTGTGCTCTGTGTAACAGGCAGGTGGCATATAAAGGTGCACATTTCCAGGTTCCCTTGAAACTCAGAACATCTTGTGAAACTGGACACACTGTCCAGTGTGGGGATGGTGATGCGGAGGTTAGAAGCAGCCCCACTTCAGTCCGTTTTGCCCCACGGCTCCCCTTCATGTCCCCAGTTAAGGAGCAGAGGGTCTGGGCTCATAGATCATCATACTTGCATTGATTTTTCCCCTTAAGATAGGGAAATATTTCTCTGTATCCATGTTTCTATCAAAAATGGGAAATCAAGAGAGGCACAAGCTTCAAAAAATATTTTGGGTCTCTTCTTTGTGGAAAGACATACCCCCACGTGTCTTGGTGCACATTCTGGCTACAAGGGTTCCTTCTGCCCTGCCCATCCCCCGTTCACGGCACTGCCGGACCCCGCGGCACTGAGTGTGTGCGCATCATGGTTCATTGGCTCCTGTGCCTGTGTGATGGGGGGCCAAGATTCCCTCAGTGGGCAGTTAGGGGCCTGGCATGGGGAGCTTCTGGCCCACTGGGGGCCTGGTTTAAGTACAGCCAGACTGGCACAGTTAGGAGAGCAAAGAGGCTAAGAAACCCAGGGGTGGGTAATGACATCAGCACTTGGGCTGGGGGATGCTGGGCCTCTCCGATGAGCCAACAACCTTGACCCTCCCCGTGACACCGGATCGCGAGGATGATGCACTTAGGATCTCAGTCCCTCTGAGCCCCAGTTTCTCCCTTTGTACTGGGAGATGCTCCTCCCTGCCCTTCCAGTCTTGCCCATCTGTTGTGTCACCAAATGAGAGAGTAGGCACTTGGGGATTTCGAAAACTGCTAAATTCTCCCTAACAAGGGCAATTCCTGGCAAAGCGGGGTGAGACTGTGGAGCTTGCTCGAAGTCAGGGTGGCAGGAGTGGGGAGCAGCCTGTATGGTTGGTCTGCTTCTCTCTGGAGGACGAGGGCCAGCGAGGCTCTTGGGCCTCTCCTGCTGCATCTTCCGATGGGTCCCTGAGTAAGAACCGCCCTGAGGGAAAAGATAAGATGTTGGTGTTTGTCTGGTGCTTTGCAGTTTCCAAAGTGTTTCCCAGAACATCTTCTCCTTCTCGTCTCTTCCAGCCTCATAAAATTGGCAAGCAGGGGCAGTCTCCTGAAGTCAAAGGACCAGGTGGTTCCAAACCATTTCTCTTTCAACTGAGAACCATCACTCTATCTATCTATCTATCTATCTATCTATCTATCTATCTATCTATCTATCTATCTATCTTTAATTGCTTTGTTTAAGCTAATGAATAAAAAGAGTGCATTGCTAATATCCTGTGCCTGACGAGGTTACTGTGGCAAGGCCAGCACCCCAAACCTGCAGGCTGTGTGACTCCCTGCTGCTCCTGGGGGGCCCTGAGACCCGCTCTGGCCCTCACCTGGCAGTAGCTCTTACCTTAGCTCAATGCCACCAATATTCTCTCTAGGAAGCTGTGCACGTCCCTTACTTTGTATGTCTCCTGAACCTTAAATTTAATACAATTTATCACGTGGTGGGCACAAGCGACCAGGACAGAAGGGTTTTAGAAAAGCCAAGGCTCTAGATGCACTCTCTGTTCATCGGTCCTCTGTCACCCGCCCCCTGGGCACCTGCGGGAGGGCAGCTTTGAGGAATTCCCCAGAACGCTGCCCAGCCCTGTTGCCTCCATGTTGGAGGTATGGTTCCCACCATTTCCTACAGGAGATTTGGCCCCACTTTATCATCCCTGACATTTACAGCAGGAGATTGGGGTCGCCGGGAATCCTGGGCTGGGACACATGGGCCCTGACTTGCACGGGGGAACTCAGAAGGCAAGTAGAGAAGTTCCAAGCAACTCAATCCCCAGAAGGTACCTGAGGATCAATAAAGCAGTAATCCCCACCTAGCTGAGGCTGCCGGTGCGTGTTTACAGAGCCATTCCCGGCCGGTGATTTACAGCGGCCTCGCTTCAGAGGAGGTCCTGAGGCTGGAGCTTTGTGGCTCTCGGAAACACGGACAGCTCGCCCTGGGGGACACAGTCTCCCCACACAGCCTCTCTTCCTCCCGTCCTCCTCTCTCCCTTCTGTCCTTTTAAAGAATAACCTTACTGAGATATAACACACATTCCATACAATTCACCGATCGCAAGCGTGCCATGTGATGGTTTTCAGTGTATTCATAGAAATGCGCGACTGTCCTTACAGTCAACTTAAGAATATTCTCCTCACTTCCCTCAAAACCCCGTACACATGAGAAGTCAGCCCTCTCCCCCAGCCAGGACACCATCATTAGGCAGCCACGAATCTAACTTTCTGTCTCAATGGATTTTCCCATTGTGGACATTTACATGAATGGAATCGTGCAGTATGTGGTCCTTTGCGGCTGCCTTCTCGCAATTAGTGTAAGGCTTTTGCGGTTGACCCATGTTGTAGCAGATGTCGGTATGGCAGCCAAATGTGCCAGTAATCCCGCTCCCAGGCATAAAACCAAGAACAATGAAAATACACGTCCACACACACACCCGTGCCTGAATGTCCACAGCAGCATTCTTCATCGTAGCCCCAAAGTGGAAACCACTTACATATTCAAGTGTTGAAAGAGTACACAGAATGGAATCTGTTTAATGGACTATTATTTGCAAATAAAAAGAATGATGTAGGGTGTCCGGCATGGGTCGACCTTGAAGACTTGCAAAGCAAAAGAAGCCGTTCATAGTCACCACATATCGCACGATTCCATTTCTGTGAAGGGTCCAGAAAGGACAAATCCCTAAAGAGAGAAGGTAGACCAGTAGTTGTCCAGGGCTGGGGGGAGGGGGAGGCAACGCCTGCTCCTGGATACAGAGTTTCCATGCCAGCGGACGTGCTCTGGAACTGCACCGTGGTGTTGGCGGCACAGGCTGGGGACTGCGCAAAAAAAAATCACTGAACTCTACGTGTTAGATGGGCGGTTTCATAGTACGTGAATTATACCCCGACAGAGAGCGTGAAGGACTGATGCAGGAGAGGGAGGAAGTGAAGGAGACCGGCGAGGGGCTTGTGTTGTGGGGGAGATGGCAAAGCTCCAGCTCTCTGGGCTCCTGTCTGCTCCACACGGCTTTGGGCTCCAGAACTGGCACAGCGGGAGTCACCCCGAGCTCTCACAGGTGGTAGGAAGGAGAACTGGCTTGAGGCCCCAGCATGGGGGAAAAACACAGTGGGGCAGTGTCTTAGGTCCCCACCCCCGCCAGCCGAAGAAGGAGAACCCAGACCCAGTGTTTCCCATCCCCACCTACCATGGGAGATACCCAGTAGGCTCTTCCCTTTCTGTATGGCATGAGAGTTCCTGTAACACCACATGCTAGAGGGATCAATTGGGAACCCCATTCCCCATAAACAGCCAGGGCAGAGCTCTCTACCCCAGGCTTGAAACGTCGCTCCTCCACTGAGAGGCTTCCTGGACCTGGGGGCTTAGGCAAGGGGCTAGCTTCTTTGTTCCCCTAGGGCTAAGACCCTGTTCTCCCACTAGAGACCCTGAGCGGGGAGAGGAGTCATCATCACAATAAGGGAATCTTGTCACAATAAGCATCTGGCCAGAGAAACCTCTTGTACCCTTGGACGAGAACTCCCCTACCTGCCAGGAGATACAGTGCCCCATCTGGAACCACACCTATCTCCTCAGGTAGCACCAGCAGGGCCCAGTGGGAGCCCCAGAAGCACCAGGTAAACAGGCAGACTGGAACCAAGAGCCCTGACAATTAAACTGTCATTGGAACCACAGGCCACAGAATAGGCCAATAGCTGTGTGCTAAAACTAAACAGGATAACGGCCTGCTAAAATAATAGGTTGAAATAGGACCCAGAGTCTCCTAACATCCACCATCAACACACTTCCATGTGGGCATGATTGAGTCCCATACTGCCTGTGAGCATCTCTGGGAACACAAGGGTTGTGCTTTTTGTTACACATAAAATTTTTCTTTTGTTTTTTTCCAGATTCAAAATTATACATGTGCATTGTAGGAAATCTAGAAAATAGAGACAAAGAAGAAATTGTAAATCACCTGTAATCTTACCACTCAGAAAAAATGCATGTTGCGTGTGTGTGTGTATGTGTGTGTGTATTGATATTAACCATACATCCTTTCAATCTCTGTGTCTTTAGATGCAGAAAGGAAGTTTTTCTTTTATAGAAAATAC